GAATTTTCTTCATGCCCTGAGCTATATCCGCACTCAGTGGAATTCCCATCAAGTGGCCTCACATCTCCTCCAAACTTTCAATAAAAAAAACTGCTAAGATGTATGTTTGTGAAGTTAAGAGGAATTTATATTAGAACAAGCACAGAGTTCAGATGTCAAATTTGTCGGCTAATAATAGATCCCCTGAGACGACAGGCTACAAATTACTGGAAAAATAAATGAGACAGGCGTTTCACCTTTCTGTAGCCTAGAGGAATGGGCATTCTTTCTGTAGGATGAGCTGCTCAGACACCGAAGATTATGGCATTTGATAGTCACAGCCAGTCTGTCTGTGCCTACTTAGGCAAATACACAGAACACTGAACAGGGAGGGGAAGGAGATGGAGCACAGAAAAGTGCTTCTAGGATGAAATTAGTTCCAAGCAGCTTTGCTTCCTATTTGGGTAAATGGTATAAATCAGGGGTCTCAAATTCACGGCCCATAGACCATCTATGGCCAGAGCATTTTAGCAATCTGGCCCACTGGCGGCCCGAGGGGAAATAGGGAATGTGCCCATGCTTCTGCCTCAAGCCCCACATCATCCTGTCCCGCCCTCACGCCCTCCCTCCCCCCATAGTATCCCGTTCCCTGAAGGACATAGCCTTGGGGATTACTGAGGGGTAGGGGCAGGTGTGGAGCAACAGCAGAGGTCAAGCCCCCCATACTCCCAAAGGCAGTCCTAGTAATCACCAGAGTTACATCCCTCAAGGGACAGGGTGCAATGGGGAGACGGAGCAAAGAGATGATGGGAAGGGGCAGGGCTTGGGGGACAGACACGCCTCCTTAGGCCAGATTGCGAAAATGCTCCGGCCATATACGCGCCCTGAGTTTGAAGTCCCGATATAAATCCAATAAGGAATGACAACTTGAAAGAAAAAAATAGGGAAGATAAATAGTAACACTTCTTAAATATATCATCATTCCTGTGATTCCACAAGTTCCTTGACAACCTGGTATGGGAATAAGAATGTTAAGAAGCAGGTAACTGACTAATCATGCACCCGATACAATTTGTATCGAGCACACGCTTAGTCGATAAACTGCGGCTCCACAGTTTAAATGGACTGGGAGCGCTGGCAGCCCGTCTCCTACTACATTTAAAATGCAGAGCTGCAGTGAGGGCAGGTCCGGGACCGGCGCGAGCTGGGATTCAGTAGTCCTGGCTCACATGGAGTCCCAGACTGCTGCAGCTCTGTTTTTTACATGTAGTAAGAGCTGCCTGGCTCCTACTATATTTAAAAAACAGAGCTGATACACAAGCAGCAAGGGGTGGGGGGAGAGAACGAGCAGTCGAGTAGTGACTTGACTACCAGATAAGCTTAAACTTATCAGGTAGTCAACTACTCGAGTAGTTACTTACATCCCTATATGGGAGTAATGGAGAGACATCATATGTAGTGGCTAGAGCAGGTGTCAGCAACCTTTTCAAACCCAAGAGCCAAACTACATCAAAATTCAAAACAAGTGGTCAACAAAGAGCTGTATAAGAATGCCCATTTGCATTACTGAAAATATACAACTTAATATTATTGATAATTGATAATGATTAATAGCAGCATAAATGAAACATTGTACTCAGACCATTTAATGGGACTTCTGGCTGCTGCATCTTTTCACACGTTCCTTTGAAGTTCACATCATAACTGGTCAAATCCAGCTTCATGCAGAATAGTGATAGAAATGTAGCCGTGTTAGTCTGGGGTAGTTGAAGCAAAATGCAGGACAATGTAGCACTTTAAAGACTAACAAGATGGTTTATTAGATGATGAGCTTTCGTGGGCCAGACCCACTTCCTCAGATCAAATAGTGGAAGAAAGTAGTCACAACCATATATACCAAAGGATACAATTAAAAAAAAGAACAAATATGAAAAGGACAAATCACATTGCAGAACAGAAGGAGGAGGCGGGGGGGTGGGAAGGGGGAGGAAGGAAGGTAAGTGTCTGTGAATTGATGATATTAGAGGTAGGGAGAGTGGGATGTTTGTGAGTTAATGGTATTACAGGTGATAATTGGGGAAACTGTCTTGATAATGGGTGAGAAAGTTCAAAGACTTGTTAAGTCCCTGGTGGTAAGTGTCGAATTTTAACATGAATGACAGTTCAGAGGATTCCCTTTCAAGTGCAGATGTAAAAGGTCTTTGTAGCAGAATGCAGGTGGCTAAGTCATTTAGAGAGTGTCCTTTCTGGTTAAAGTGGCAAGAAACTGTTTTCTCTTTGTGATCTTGTCTGATATCTGTTTTGTGGGCATTAATGCGGAAGACGTGGGGATGCAGGAGTCTGGATTGGAGTGTAGGAGGGGCTCAGGGCAGGGGGTTCAAATGTATGATAGGGTGTGTGGGAGAGGTTGTGGGGGGGGGGTGCAGGAGTGTTATGACACTATGGCCAGATGGGGGCTGGGCCCCAATTCGGGACTGGGCCCCAATTCAGGGCTTGCTGGACAGACTTCATTTATAGATAAAGTAAACTATTATGTCCAACACAAAAGGTTTCAACATTGTCTCTCTTTATGGCAGTGGCAGGGAACCTTTTTTGGGTTGGGAAGAAGCAAAAACAAACCCTCCAAAAAACCCCAACCCTCACTGATGTGGCCCCCAACTGAAACACTTCACTAACCCTGGTGCTCCAGCCCCATGTTGTGGGGAGGGGCAGAAAGGACTGAGGTTAAAGTCCTGAGGCCAGATTAACTCTTCTGGGGTTCCAGGGTTAGTGGATTTTGTGGGGCCGTGTAGGCTCTGGGGTTAGGGCTGAGGGGTTAAGTGTGTAGGACAAGGCTGCCAGTGAGCAGGAAGGGATGGGGGTGCAGGATCTGGGGTGCAGGAGAAGGTCAGGTGGAAGGGACAGGAGCAAAGGAGGGTAGAGGAGCAGGCTGGGGGTGCTTGGCCAGGGGGACGTGCAGGAGCAAAGGAGGTACAGGAGCAGGGTGGGGTTAGGTGCCTGGCTAGGGAAAAGGGTGTAGGGTCTCGGTGGAGGGTATGTGTGTGTGTCTTGGCAGGGTGGTGAATGAGGGAGCTAGGGATGCGGGGCCACTCACTTGCTTTCGTATTGCTGGTGTCCCAGGCATGGCTTTCCATGGCTCCCACTGGCCAGAATCTGGCCAATGAGAGCAAAGGGGAAAGCCCCCAGGAAGCGCGTCTCTGCGCAGCTGTTCCCCCAATCGGGGGAAGGGAAGTGGTAGAGTGCGGAGCCATTTTTGCATCTGCTTCTTTCCTGCCAGCTAGATCCAGCAGGGAGACTCAGGAAGCCGGCAATGACACTTCAATCCTGCAGGGGGCCACCAGGCTGGAGTGCCAGCGTAGGGAGCTAAGAGGGGCTGAGCTCGAGCAGCAAGAGAGCCATATTTGGCTGGAGAGCCACAGGTTGCTGACCCCTGCTCTAGAGAGAAGGTAGTGCCTCCCATGGCTCAAGAAGCAGACACTCATGGTGATTAAGAAGCAGCACTGATTAATTCTGGATAGATTCGAGTCTAGGATGTCCTGACCTGGTTGAAAGAAAAAGGGCTGAAGGAACTATAGCTTGAAGATGAGAAGGGAGAGATCTTTTAAAAACACAAAAGGGGGGGGGGGGGGGACTTCTATGACTAACCATGTACCCCTTCTTAAACACAAAACACAAGTCATTTCTTAAGGAACAATGGACATTACGACTTTTTCTGGACAAAACTGGGCCTTCACTATAACTAGGGATATGAAAGGTTAACCGTTTAACTGGTAAACATCACCCTTAAGGAGTCATGCTTACCTCTTCCTGTTAACCGGAAACTGATGGGTGCAGGAGCTGCTCCCCATGTACCCCTTCTTAAACACAAAACACAAGTCATTTCTTAAGGAACAATGGACATTACGACTTTTTCTGGACAAAACTGGGCCTTCACTATAACTAGGGATATGAAAGGTTAACCGTTTAACTGGTAAACATCACCCTTAAGGAGTCATGCTTACCTCTTCCTGTTAACCGGAAACTGATGGGTGCAGGAGCTGCTCCCTACCTACCACAGGCAGAGGGCTGCTCAAGCTCTGCAGGGGGTCCACTGCAGAAAGGAACTGATGTGTGGAGTAGCACCTGCCTGCGGTGGGCCTGGGAGCCCCACAGGCAGGGGCTGCACCAGCATCCGGAACAGCCTCTGTTACCAGGGAGCCAGGTCTGCTGTAGACAGGGGCTGCTCCAGCTGGGCTGGAGTGGTTCCATGCCCGGAATCTCACCTAATTGGTTAACCAGTTAAATGTTGGGTTAACCTAATGTTTAACTGATTAACCGAGATTCTGCATCCCTACAAACAAGTCATACACATTTCAGGGTCCCAATCTTTGAAAAAAAAATATTACTTTGATCATTATGAACATTAGTGTTCAGCTGGCTCCTTCTATGGCCAAAATACACTTCTGCTGAAAGATATGCTGGTAGTAAGTTACCTGAGGACATTGATTGTTTTTATGAAGCTGCACACTTTATAGAAATGGAGTTCTTTTTAGAAGGACACATCCATTTTTGTTAAGCCTACAATAAACTTTCCCCTTTTTTTTTAATCTTGCATTTGGGCACACAGCATTAGAATATAGCAGACACAAACATACTCTCTCAGAATAGCCTATTATGCTGAAGAAAACTAATAAACCTTTAAAACAGGTCTTATCAACCTCCGCTAAATACCTATATACCAAACCACCCTTTCTCCACGTGCACATCTTGCATTCAAGATCATTACTAGGACTTTGGGATCAATTAAAATTCTCTCTCCTCCTCCCCACTATCTTGGGAGTCTTCTCTTCCCCTTGCTAACTACTGGAGTATTCAACTATAGCAGAGGACAATCGGGGCAACAACAAGAACTAGGCATGTGGAAAGTAGATGTTCCCAGCTACATGATATTTTCATTCTTCCATATATTTTAATAGGCACTTCCGCATTCATCTGCATTTAAATCAAAGGCAGCAAGAACACACTGATCCAAAGACGCTTACTTGCGTAGCCATCTTGCCATAGTCAATCCACCGCAGTGTGGCAAAGTTGGTGGACTCAGCACAGTTGAAGCCATGATTGAATCCAGCATGATAGCCATAAGGAAACGTGATCATAAACTCTCCAGCCTCTTGGGTGATCTGAGAAAAAAAAAATGAAGGAGAAACAGATAAAACTGATTTCTTGGGGGATACTGTGATGACCCTAAGGCTTGAGAACAGGGTTATAAGCTTAAGGAAAGCTGTGAAAAGTCAACTTGTTTCAATACAGCTCCTATGGGGTATCTGTTTGTCCAACAAAACACAACTTCAGACTAAACATAGAGAACAGAAAGAACTGAAAGGGCAGGTGGTGCTCCATTAGTCTGCCAAGACCTATATCTTCAACAGGAAGAAGAAAGGAATTTTGCAAAGAGCCTTGACACATTAACTAGCTTCCTACGCATGATGTCATCATTCACGCTTATAAATAGTTAATCTTGGGGTTTGGAGGAGCAGACTCTTGGATAAAAGGTAGAACCAACCCCGATGTACTGTTTTTACAGAGATTAAAATACTCCACATAAAAGCATGGTAAAATGGTAAATATATAATAGCTGTTAGGAAGATCTGAATCCTTGTCTCTTTAAACCATAATTTAAACATCACCACCTGACTCTCAGGGTAGAGTTTGAAATTATAAAATGGGCCCGAGGGCCTAGCATCCTCAATACCCTACAGATCTCTAAACAGTGAGTAGTTTGGTTAATCATATCACCAAGTCTATCTGTACATGCATAACAAGGTAAATAGAAAAAAACAATACTATCTGCCTTCTTATTAATGTGTATTTTGTTTTTAATTTTATCTTTGTACACTAGTGACTTAAGCAAAGGAAGGGAGCCTAAAAATCACAGAGGAAAAAAATCCATGACAACTGTAGTCACAAACCACTTAAAATGACTTGGTTCCCACAAAAGCTAGTAATTTAAAATTACTGGGGAATAGAGAATTGTTGAAAAATCTCTCACTGATCAGATTTATATTAAGATAGTTAGCATGGCTGTGATACGTTTACATTGATGTATCTCAGGAAGGCTGGTGGCAGCATCTCTATTTAAAAATTGAGGAAGAGGTAAAGTTTTATCTGATCCTGACATGAAAAACACCGGCAGATCCTTTACTGTATGTGTAATTATGTGACTATCAGTCATACTCAAGATATTTCCTATCAAGAGGAATTCATTAGTTCACAGCCTAAAAAGGATTCTAGGAACTTTCATCCATAACTAAAGAATATGATAGTAAAAGGTGGCAAGTTAACACATCCAGCCTTTAGAGACTTCCTGTGAGTGTCAACACGATCAAGAAATACGAAATCAAAGAGGAAAAGCGGGGATAAGAGTGCTAAAGTCAGACAAGTTCTGCAAAACTCATGTTCCCTCTGTTGCAGGTTCCCAATTCATTCCTTTTTTTAAAGACTTACTTAGCAAAGCCCTATTCAAAATGGCCTTTCTGGCTGTCTCAATGAACAGTGTGAACATCCTTCCAAACTAAGGGCTACTGAATATCAAGACTTAATCCAGCACACACTGAACAAATGAAGCAACAGCCAGAAAGGAAGAGGAGGAAAGAAGTTTAAAAAGACCATGTTCAAACTGCTTGTCTTCTTTAGATTACTGAATTGCACTCAAGCAGCATACTGCAGAATACTCAGACTTAAAGGCTGTCATCTGAATAGGACCCTCATCACAAAGCTGTATGCTGTACATACGACACTGCTTGCGATATGAATTTCTCCGCCTGTGTACTTTGTTTACAGATTTTTATTCCTCTCAGCCCTCTCAAGGTAGAATGCAATGATTATGAGGGAACTAAGTCAGAGAAATATCGGAGAGGGACAGACCTGGGTAAACCTCTGTGGAAGGATTCAAAAAGGTATTTTTGAGGAAAGTTTCCCACTTCTAGCACTTTGGCAATGCTGCATCGGGATGTGAAAGTGTAACCATGTAAATAGTTAACTGATGAGCTTGGGCCACCCTTAAAAGCCAGCCCCCGGCACACACTGGCTCCTGTATTAGAGGTAGCAATAGGTGGAACCAGGCAGAAGCTGGATGTGGGGGGAGCTGGCTTAAAAGCTGGCTCCGGCATGCACAAGCTCCCAGGGAGCCGACTGCTGCCCCACATGTAACCGCTGAAATGGTCAGCAGTTACACGGTTACTTAATTACATGCTTTTAACATCCCCAATGCTGAATTTGCACAGAGTTGAAATACTGACTTCTGGTCTTTTCAATACTGTTAGTATTTCTGTATTGCGATGAAATTATTACACAAAAGCTGTTCCAAGATGCTTCTGTGGGCTTTCTGGGTGAGAGAAACTCAAGCCAAACTTTCTACCCAGCTTCATGGAGTATCCTCCCAACCGGCCCCTTCATAAATCAAAACAAAGCTGCAGATTGTTAAATTAAGAAGGCAGAAAGATTATGTTCTTGTCAGAAAATCTACATCTTGGTGTCTTCATTTCAAGCCCACAGTGTATGTCCTCCATGTCACCGCTGTCAACATTATCCCAACAATAAATTAGAAAGCACTCAAGATGATGGATAGGCCATGTAGAAAAGTAATAACTATTGAGGGAAAGCCAGCACAAACTGCCACTCATGGAGAAAGCCCTGAATTTACTGACTTCTGCAAGCTCTTGCTGAATAAATGGAGAAATCAATAGGGGATTACAGAAATACACATTTTTAATTATTAAAAAGCTCTGATATTGATCTGCTGTTTTTCCAGAAGTAAATACCATTACAGAGATTTATAAATGTGTGTGTATTCACTTGTTTGAAGTCTGCCAGGAATTTAGATGAAGGGATCCTGCCTGTATTTTTAAAGGAAGAGGAAAAAAAAAATGTGTCTTTCCCTGTACAATACTGTTCTTGAATCTGCTACTTTTGGCTAGGATTCAGCCAGATGTGGGCTGTTCAGACTGAAGACCTCACAAACCTCCTTCCTTTCACTGTTAAAGGCCTTTCAGTGAGTACTTCCAACAGTCAGAGGCGAAGAAGGGAAGCTGTCATGAAAGCACATCCTTACCCCCCCGCAGGTCAGACTTCTGAAATTTACACTTAAAAATCTCCCCACCTTTAAAGGTGGGGGGAGTCAGTCTTCAAAAAGATTCTGTTCTTATGCTGGTCTCTCTTGGCTTTTAATAGAATTCAGTGACAGACTGACTTGGCTAACACTGGCACAAGATACACTGCCCTCGTATTTCACTGACTTGTAAATATATACAGTAGAAAGCTTTGTCTGTCAGATACTTGCACATTTCCTTTACTTTGCAAATCAAATTATTGTGGGGGCAGGGGATAACAGCTAGGAAGACAGAAAGTACCTTACACTAAGCAGTGAATTAGAAGCCACTTTCCATATTATCTCTATGCTCATATTGTTCAATACATTCTTCTTGGGATCAGGTTAAAGAGAGACCCTTCTTTCACAAACTGTACAAGAACACCATTAGATATTTGCTTAGTTATTGATCAGAAATCATTCACTTAGGATATTCTCTAATCATCAGTGTGACTTTTGCTCCAACGAGTAAGTAAAGGAAAAAGCAAGCACAGTGCATAGTCAAATAGGTTTATGCAGTGCCCAATTTGTTACTTTTATCACCATTCTGAAATGCAGTAGTGAGCAAGAAGCAAGATCTAGAATTCAACCAATATAGACGTGGAAAGGGAGACAATGGACAAATCCCTAAAACTTAATGGTCAGATTTCAAAGCTCAGCTGCTGTTTAGGTTCCAAAATAAGCAACTACATGCTCTTTTGAAGATCACTGGACCCGCGTTTCAAGGTTAAGTGGTAGGGTCTATGAATTTCCAAAATCCTCTATCAAAAGAAATAATTCCCAAATGGCCAGGTATCCATTACCCTGGAATACACCCCATGCTCCCCCACAGTGCTCCTGCCCATCCATTTTCTCAAGACACTGATTACACACTCTGGACATCTTAAGAGAGTGGCCTCCAACCTTTTTACACTCAAGATCACTTTTTAAATGTCAGGGTAAGCCAGAATCTACCCCATCCCTTCCCTGAGACCCCACCCCTTTCTTGAGGCACCACCCCCTCCAAACCTTTTCGCAGATTACCCATTGCTAATGGAAACTCACCGTTAATTACATAATTACACCCTAGCCATTTTGCTAGTTCTGCAGCTGGGGAGAACGGTTTCATTTAAATTATTAAACAGATTAAGCATTTTAACTCTCACGTTAGTTTATCACATTTCATTTTAAATAAAGTAAAACATTATGTCCAACACAAAAGGTTTCAATGTTTTCTTTTTTATGGCATGGGTGGGGAACCCTTTTTGGGTCGGGGGCCACTGATCCACAGAAAAATCAGTTGGGGACCACACAAGTGAGAAGCAAAAAAACTCTTCCCAAAATCCCCAACCTTCACTGATGTGTCTCAGTTGGGGGCACCTCACTCTTCTGGCGCTTCAGCCCCTACAGTGTGAGGGGAAGGAATAGGGATGACGGAGGTTCAGAGCTTCCCATAGGCCAGTTTTACTTTTCTGTGGTTCCAGAGTTAGTGGATTTTGTGAATCCCCTAAGGCTCCAGCATGGGAACAAAAATGAAGGGCTCAATGTGTGGGACAGAACTGCCAGCGAGTGGGACAGGGATGCAGGATCTGAGTGGGAGGTGGGGTCCCGGATCTGGAAGGGAGTTTAGCAGCAGGAGAGGGTGGGGGTTTGAGAGGGAGTTTGGAGGTGGGAGGGGGTTGAGACAGTAATGAAGAAAAGGTGAAAGGGTGAGAATGCAGCCAAATAGCTAGTTGGGAAAGGAGGCAAAGAAGTGGGGAGTAAAGGAAAGTGCAGCTTCTGCAAAGTAAATTTGAATCCCCCTCAAACCTTCCCTCTGTTCTGGACTCATTCCGCAGCCCCATGATCTCCTGCATTGCCCCATGCCCCTCAGTGCAACCCCTACCCTCTCCCATCGTGCCCCCGCAGCCTCCTCACCCCATCTCCCTGTGCCCGCAATGTACTCACTAGCCGGACAGCAGCATGGGGACTTGCAGCCTCTGGGGAGCAGCCCTGAAGTGAGGAGGGGGCAGAATCTCTTCCCTGCCAAGTTAGCCCTTTGCCTGCTGGCAGGGGGGCAGGGACTGGGGCAGCCAGAGCCCGGGGCTGCCCAGGGCTGGCTTCAGCCGGTCCAGGCGCAGCAGGGCGCTGGGGAAGGAGCTCCTCGAACACACACACACAGCCCGGCCAGGTGCAGCAGGGCGCTGGGGAAGGTAGCTCTCTGACCTGGCATACAGCCCACGGGGAACATTGCTGCGTAGCCTTCTCCTCAGCGCATCACCTGTGCCAGCCGCCCAGCATCCTCTGGGAGCAGGAGGCAAGAGCGGGGATGTATGCACATGTTTGCACACGTATCTCTACCCCCTCCCAGCCTGCAAGTTAAAGAGGTGCAGCTGCCCATGTGGCTGCCCCTCTTTGATTCAGCCCAGCCGGAGCACGGCGCAGCCTCTGCAGGCTGAAAGCCATGGCTAGCTGGACTGGAGCAAACAGGGGCAGCCACCTGGGCAGAATGCCTTGGTCAGCAGGCTGGGTAGCTGCCCCTGTTTGCTCCAGCCCAGCTAGCCGCATTCAACCTGCTGAAGCTGTGTCACGCTCCAGCTGGGCTGGATTAAAGAGGGGCAGCCACCCGGCCAGGTGGCCGCGGTGATCAACCCCTAGGAGCGCCGCGATCGATCGGTTGGTGACCACTATCTTAAGAGGATATTCAAATCCCCTGGGTTCAGATGTCTAATGCAAGCATTTATGTGCTTCCATTTGAAACCTGGGCTCCACAAGTGAAAGTATGCAAAGGTGTTAAGGACTCTAGTTTGCTGACCTCTTATGAACCGCAACTGAATATAGACCAGTCCCAATCAAGTGCCTGATGATGAACCAAAAGCACCACACTGCATCTCACAAGCTTCCATTGCCCTGACAGCAAGTCCATCTGAGAAGTCGGATGACTGCACTTCAAATTTCATTCATCACAGCCTTTTGCTAGGAAAAACAAAGCCACTTCTGGAGCAGTAAATTGAATGAATTCATAGTCTTGATGCTGTACAAGAGCCAGGATCTTTTATTTCCAAATAGATATTAATTCCATCTCAAAGGATCACGGAGCCTTTCAACTCAGTTCTGTATTCTCTCAGATACTAACTCTAGCATAATCCTTACTTTGCTTAGAAGAAAGTATGGTGACAATATTCTCATTCTGAAATGGAGATGCAAAGGGGATGGAAAAAGAATAAAATTAAGACACACCACCCACCACCTGCACCCTTATATTTGTATTGGCAGAATGCTGTGGGATGCTCAGAGGAAAGATGACAGGAGTACCAGAAATACTTTGCAAATGTTTGTTTCAGCCAAGCCCTTAGTAATAATTTTTTAAACAGACATATATTGTATATAACAATGCACTGAGAAATGAGGTATCCTATTCCCCTCAATGAATGCCCTGAAACGGTTTCCTTTAAGCAGAGGAGAGCAGCCCCAGGTTGTCAACAATACTACAGACTTCTCTTAGAACAGCCTCTATACATACCCGGTCAAATGGGATGCCATATTTCTTCAAGATGGAGGGAGAAATTAGGGTCATCTTGTGGCGGAGGAAGGCATCACATCCCTGAGAGCTTCCTGGGAAAAATCCTGAAGAGGGATTCAGAGGAAAAGAAAACATCACCACAGGCAGATTTGCCCAGTAAAATACACACAGTAACCAGCAAACAGCCAGTAAAATGTTAATTTGCTCACACTTGAGACAGTTGAAACAACAAGTACACAGTTGCAGGTTGTGGCATGAGTATCAATGCCCTCATTGCTTAAAATAGTGACATGAGGCCAACAGTGGTCTCAAAAGACGACCAGTCTCCTAAATGCTACCTACACTAGAGAGGACTGCAAGACACCACATCCTATGCCATAGTAATGCTTTATCAGCGCTCCCCAGAAATACTGTGCCAGCCGTATTAGGGGCCTCAGAATTCCAGTGTCAGCTATACTCCCTGCAATCTACGGTTTTCCTGGCCTGAGCTCTTGTGATATTTCCACAACGCACTGCTACAAAGATTTGCATCACAGCATCACTGAGGCCTAGGAAAATGAGTAATAAATAGGATCTCTCACAAATACTGTCCGGTCAGTGCCTACACATGGTCTCATTTCCAGTAATGCAATGTCTGAAAATAACAACAAAATGTGCATTCTTACTCATAATACTATATGACCCCATAAACCCTGCAGTATCGGAGTGTCTCATAATCCTTAATGGACTTCACTTCACAGCCCCCCGCAAGGTACATAAGTGGGGGATATTTTACAAATGGGGATCTGAGGTACAGAGGTGAAATGACTTGCCTAAGGTCACGTACAGCAATAATTGCTGTACTTCAGGGTCAGAACTATCCCCATCCATAGAATGGAACTGGGGCAACCTGTGCTACAGGGGGACACAGGGGCCAGGGCCACCTGGTGGATTAGCTGGGGCCTGGCACCAGTAGTAGTGAGCAATCCACTGGCTCCCAACATCCCTCAAGGGAGGGGGCAGAAGCTGGAAAGAGACAGAGCAGATTCCTGGGGGGAGGAGTGGAATGGCACAGGTGGCAGGCAATGTAGGCAAGGGAAGGTACTGTCTTCCCAAAAATGCCTACACTCCACTGCTGTGGGGGGCACAGGGGAAGGCTGAGGCCATGGTGGGGCAGCACAGCTCCCTGGGAAGGCTGGGGCTGCAGCGTGACAGCCCAGCTTCCAGGGCAGCCAGGCTGCTGCACTGTGGCTCCAGCCTTTCCCTGTGGCCCCAGCAGCTGTGGGGTGTATGCAGCCCCAGCCCTCCAAGTGGCCAGGAATGCTTGGGCTGTGGTTGGGCAGCGCTTGGCTCCACAGAGAGTGAAGGGGGTAGGAAGGTTGCTGAAGGGGAGTGGTGGAAGAGGTGGAGCTGGAGCTTCCCTTCCCCAACTGGGCCTTCACCTGCTGCCCATGGGGTCAGGGGCTGTCTCAGGTCCCATACTCCCCTAGGGATGGCCCTGTTTGGAATGATGAATAAGGCAGGGGTAAGAAGAGAAACAAACCCCCACACATTTAAGAACCATCCAGTATATCTTATTACTGTTACCTTCATCCTCCCTCCTAGTCCCTGAGCACATGCATTTGTCTTCAACTATCTTAAGCCCTTCAGGGCAGGGATCATATCTCCTAATGTTTGTAGAGCACCTAGCACAATGGGAGACCCAATTCTCACTGAGGCGTTCAGGCACTAAATACAAAAAGTAACAAGCTGACATAAAGCTTGTCACCCTCCTTGGCCTTCCACTTTACCCTCTTGTGGTAAACTAAGCTGTAAACCGAATGTTTGAGCTGCCATTCAGAAGAGAGATTCAAATGCTGCCCAGGTGATTAGCAGAGCACCCACAGCAGGAAACATGTTTCTCTACTGGTGCATATCTGCATATGCCTCAGTTAATGTAACAAAATGTATTCTGCACATGGATGGAAAAATTAGAACTCTGCTCACAATACTACTGCCTTGTTCTAAACAAGTGGTTCTCAAGCTTATTTGATCAGGGTCCCCTTCTCTGTGTCTATAGTTTACACCCTGACCCTTCCTGTCACACAAGTACATATCCCAATTTTAAAAAAAAAAATCAACATGCAACTCTCACTAGTAAGGCACTGATTCAAACAGAACTATTATATGAAGGGTGGCCAACCAGTTAGAGATGAAAAGCCAAAACAGCTGTGGACAGAGTGCAAAGAGCCATGTATATATCTATATATAGTAAACTTCCAATAATCCAGCACCTTTAGGATCTAGGGGTGCCGGATTATCAGATATGCCGGACTATCGGAAGGGGGGGCTATGAGGGGTCTGAGGTGGCATCCCCCCCCACCCCCGACTCCTCATAGCCCCCCCTTCCGATAGTCCGGCATATCTG